AAAACAATAAAAACATGTTTTGCACCCAAATTACAATGTGTGTAATGTCTCTAACAAGCATTTAGCTAAACTTAACTAACCACCCTTTACACAAACGTTACAGTAGCTAAAAATCCAGTGCCAATAAAGATACAAAAAATTGGTAAATGTTTATAAACATTTACAAATGATGAATAGTCTCAACTTTAGACTGGGTACTGCAAAAACATGAACAAATGATTAATTAATGATTTGTAAAGATGTGAAAATAGGGTAAATTTGTCATTTGGGTCATTTGGGATAATTTTTGCCATCAAAATGACTGCTCATGAATGTCACGGTGCGTGTGGAGAGATGAAGCGAGGACTCAAGTGCAGGATGAATGGTTCTTTCTTTTAATAATAAAATTAAACAAAAACAAACTAAAACAACCCCGAGGGGGTAAAACAGACAGACAGGCTAGGAACTGCACTACATGCAGACATAACACACACAATGAAAAACGACGGATCAGCACAGGATTACAGACACCAGGAGAATAAATAGGAAACCGGGTAGCACTGCAGCTTCGTCTGCCACCTCCGGGGGCACTGCCGCCTCGGGGAAACAGTGAGCGGGCACCGCCGCCTCGGGGAAACCGTGAACGAGCACCGCCGCCCCGGGGGAAACGTGAGCGGACACCGCCGCTTCTGCAGCTTTCTGAGCGGACGCTGCCGCCTCGGGGGAAACGTGAGCGGACGCCGCCGCCTCGGGAGAAACATGAGCAGACACCGCCGCCTCGGCCACCTCGGGGGAACTGTGAGCGGACGCCGCTGCCTCGGGGGAAACGTGAGCGGACGCCGCCGCTTCGGGAAGGCCTGAAGCGAGTCCCGTCGCCTCGGAGGGATCATCAGCGGACTCCGTCGCTTCGGGAAGGCCAGAAGCGAGCCCCGCCGCCTCGGAGGGAAGCTCAGTGGGCCCCGATGCCTCAGGAGCCTTGCGAGCTGACCACGCCACTCGCACCGACATCAGCGGGGATTTCTGCATGCTGCGTATCAGCCCAGGATTGGTTTGCAGCGATCAACCGGGAACGGGTGTGAGGTACTGGGTGCGGCAGACGAGGCCTCGGACGCCCCGTGGATTGTCGCCTCGGGGGAACTGTGCGCGGGCACCACCGCCTCGGGGAAACTGTGAGCAGGCACCGCCGCCTCGGGGAAACCGTGAGCGGACGCCGCCGCCTCGGGGGAAACGTGAGCGGACGCCGCCGCTTCGGGAAGGCCTGAAGCGAGTCCCGTCGCCTCGGAGGGATCATCAGCGGACTCCGTCGCTTCGGGAAGGCCAGAAGCGAGCCCCGCCGCCTCGGAGGGAAGCTCAGTGGGCCCCGATGCCTCAGGAGCCTTGCGAGCTGACCACGCCACTCGCACCGACATCAGCGGGGATTTCTGCATGCTGCGTATCAGCCCAGGATTGGTTTGCAGCGATCAACCGGGAACGGGTGTGAGGTACTGGGTGCGGCAGACGAGGCCTCGGACGCCCCGTGGATTGTCGCCTCGGGGGAACTGTGCGCGGGCACCACCGCCTCGGGGAAACTGTGAGCAGGCACCGCCGCCTCGGGGAAACCGTGAGCGGACGCCGCCGCCTCGGGGGAACTGTGAGCGGGCACCGCCGCCTCGGGGAAACCGTGAGCTGGCACCGCCGCCTCGGGGGAACGTGCCAAGAACTCCACAAACCCCTCAAAGGATACATGAGCGGATCCTAACATGCTCCAGTGACTAATGGTCATCAAGGGCATAATTGAATAAGTCCTTTAGCGCGGAGTCATTGTAGCCCAGCCCCTCTGCAGCATTCCTAAATTCCCTGGCGAACTCCCTCAGACCAGTCCCCCGTTGACGGAGGGAGCTCAAGGTATCCAGCTGGAGCATGCGCTGGTAGAGGGGGCTGGAGAGAGTGGAGACCAGTAGTCGGTGTGAGCCCATTCTCCGCTGAGTCCCCATGTTGGCTGATCCATTCTGTCACGGTGCGTGCGGGGAGATGAAGCGAGGATAACACACACAATGAAAAACGACGGATCAGCACAGGATTACAGTCACCAGGAGAATAAATAGGAAACCAAACGAGGAGGCTAGCGAGGGAGACACAGGTGGAGCAACTTAAACAATAATGAGGTAACAAGATGGGCGGGGCAAGACAATAGACAGGAGAGAGCACATGGCAACAAACAAACACAACACAAGCCATGTGCTCACAGAACACAGTCATCTGGTGGCCATCCTGGGCACACCCGCTGAAGACTGTGACAATGAAGGTACGAATGATTAGTAAATGTTTATAATCATTTACAATTGATGAAGAAGTCTACACAACAATACATGACCTTTACAGACTGTGATTATGAGTTAATTAATATATTAACATGCATAGTTTGTGAAGTGCTTAAAATTAATAATTAAGCTATATTTTAACAACATTTGTAAATGTAAAAATGAGCATTAGCTAATATGTGAACTGAAGTTTAATGACACTTGTAAGCATTCAACAGTACATTAACAAATAAACTTGTAATCATTGTGTAATTTTTGTTAAAATCTTTTGTAGATTTTTAAAACACATTGAAAGTTTAATGACATTTGTAAACATTAACTAATGATCAGTTAAGCATTATATAATGTTTGATAATTATTAATTATTTAAGCTTTTAATCATTGTAAACCATCTGTCAAAATCATTTGATTTTTTTTTTAATGCATGATGCATGATCTTGAAAGTTTAATGACATTTGTAAGCATCTCAATTTACATTAATTAATGATCTGTTAATCATTTGGTAATGTTTAATAAGTTCATTAGCTAACATTAACAAGCACATTATCTCATATTTCTAGATCTGTGAATATATATTAAGTAATGATTAGTTAAACATTATATAATGTTTGTTAATGATTTATTAATGAAAGTTATTATAAAGTGTTAACAATTTATCAGGATTATCAGGATACTGATAGAGCTGGCTGCTACTCTTCAATATGAAGCTTTTTATCTGTGCATATGCAAAGCATGCAAAGCAATCTAAAATAATTTTGGCCAAAATTTTAGAAAATAAATGTATCATTGGGGTCATAAATCATATTGCATAAGTAAGAAGTAACTTCTCTTGTTGCTACAAACACACTCAATCAACAGCCTTACTGCTCTTAGCAACGAATGCTATGAATTGGTTTTCCCCAGTGTAGTGATGACAATGTCAGAGAATCCCATATAAACCAGACATTAAAAGGCAAGGGGCATTATATTGTTGAGACTATTTTGAAAAAAAACAAGTCAAACTGTTTGACCTAATCATTATAGGGATAATCTTAGGCAGAGTGAGGCAAGATGCTGTGGTTACATTTCTAAATTAAAACTGAATACTGATAGAGGTGGTTGTTATTCACTTTTGTTCATCTGTAAGAACTATTTTATTATTATTATTATTATTATTATGTTTAGCAATATACTGTAACTTTAATGAGGTAACAAGATGGGCGGGGCAAGACAATAGACAGGAGAGAGCACATGGCAACAAACAAACACAACACAAGCCATGTGCTCACAGAACACAGTCATCTGGTGGCCATCCTGGGCACACCCGCTGAAGACTGTGACAATGAAGGTACGAATGATTAGTAAATGTTTATAATCATTTACAATTGATGAAGAAGTCTACACAACAATACATGACCTTTACAGACTGTGATTATGAGTTAATTAATATATTAACATGCATAGTTTGTGAAGTGCTTAAAATTAATAATTAAGCTATATTTTAACAACATTTGTAAATGTAAAAATGAGCATTAGCTAATATGTGAACTAAAGTTCAATGACACTTGTAAGCATTCAACAGTACATTAACAAATAAACTTGTAATCATTGTGTAATTTTTGTTAAAATCTTTTGTAGATTTTTAAAACACATTGAAAGTTTAATGACATTTGTAAACATTAACTAATGATCAGTTAAGCATTATATAATGTTTGATAATTATTTATTAATGAAGCTTTTAATCATTGTAAACCATCTGTCAAAATCATTTGATTTTTTTTTTAATGCATGATCATATGAATTGAAAGTTTAATGACATTTGTAAGCATCTCAATTTACATTAATTAATGATCTGTTAATCATTTGGTAATGTTTAATAAGTTCATTAGCTAACATTAACAAGCACATTATCTCATATTTCTAGATCTGTGAATATATATTAAGTAATGATTAGTTAAACATTATATAATGTTTGTTAATGATTTATTAATGAAAGTTATTATAAAGTGTTAACAATTTATCAGGATAAATGTAATACTGATAGAGCTGGCTGCTACTCTTCAATATGAAGCTTTTTATCTGTGCATATGCAAAGCAACTACCTAGTTCTAAAATAATTTTGGCCAAAATTTTAGAAAATAAATGTATCATTGGGGTCATAAATCATATTGCATAAGTAAGAAGTAACTTCTCTTGTTGCTACAAACACACTCAATCAACAGCCTTACTGCTCTTAGCAACGAATGCTATGAATTGGTTTTCCCCAGTGTAGTGATGACAATGTCAGAGAATCCCATATAAACCAGACATTAAAAGGCAAGGGGCATTATATTGTTGAGACTATTTTGAAAAAAAACAAGTCAAACTGTTTGACCTAATCATTATAGGGATAATCTTAGGCAGAGTGAGGCAAGATGCTGTGGTTACATTTCTAAATTAAAACTGAATACTGATAGAGGTGGTTGTTATTCACTTTTGTTCATCTGTAAGAACTATTTTATTATTATTATTATTATTATTATGTTTAGCAATATACTGTAACTTTCAAAAAAAACAGTATACTTTAAGCCTATATGCAGTTTACACATGATCATGCTAAGTAAAGCGTCAAATTTAAGTGAAACTGGGAAGTGATTTTCTTTTATCATGTGCATTATACTCAAAGTGAATTATATGTTTAAGATGATATGTAATTAGTATTATGTTTGTTATTCTGTTTGCAGATTTTGTGTACAGCAACAAATGGACAACCTGACATTCAGACACGGCATTCTACTCGTGGAGGGACTGAAAGTTACACCTCAGTCATCTCAGCCTGTTTTCATTGTGCTTCTCTTGGCTTATGTCTTTGCAGTGGTTTCCAACATTGGACTTATAGTTCTAATCTCAACAGAGAAGAATCTGCATGACCCAATGCATTTTCTGTTCTGTAACTTGCCAGTGAATGATATAATAGGGACCACTGTCATTATGCCACGCTTACTACAAGACATTTTAAAGGAAGCTTCAGAGCGCTATATATCATATGTGGAGTGTGTTATTCAAGCTTATTTTGTGCATGTATTTACATCAGCATGCCACTATGTGCTGATGATCATGGCCTTTGACAGATATGTGGCTATATGCAATCCACTGCGATATACGGCCATAATGACCAATAAAATGGTTATTAAACTATCAGCATTTGCTTGGGGCCTGGCATTTCTTCTGGTTACAATTATGATAGGCCTTTCTGTGCGGCTGTCTCATTGTAGGTATAAAATTGAAAACCCTTTCTGTGACAATGCCTCACTGTTTAAACTGTCCTGTGAAAATGTGATTATTAACAATATCTTCGGAATTATTTATACTGTGATTGCACTCAGTCTGTCAGCAGTATCAATATTCATAACGTATGTAAAGATTGTTGCTGTATGTATAACCAGCAAAAACAAAGCACTGAACAGCAAAGCCATAAAAACCTGCAGCACTCATTTAGCTGTTTATTTAATCATGTTTATTTCTGGAGCTGTGTTTATATTTCTTCATCGTTTCCCTGAATACGCTGACAGCAGGAAACTAGCTAGTATAATGTTTCACATTGTACCACCAGGATTAAATCCCTTAGTATATGGTTTACAAACCAAAGAGATAAGACAAAAGATTGTTAAACTCTGGTGTAGAAAAAATCGAATTCTTTAACAGATTACGTATCTTCACAACATAGTCAATGTGTTTTTATAGGATTTTGTGAATGTGAAAACTTATTTAGCTGTAGTATTGTAATGCTGCAAACACTTCCACTTTATTCTGTACTCAAGTTATTTTCAGTATTTATCAGGTGTTTGTATGGGAATTGTTTACTAAAAATGTAAACTAAATGAAGTTGTAAGCAGACATTACCTAAGGAAAAAATAAAATAAATGACAAGAAAAGCACATGTTAATTTTGGCTCATTACAAGCACAAAAGGCAATTTTTGCCACGTAATATGCTGATAAAAGCTCACGAAAATGAGGAAGAAAGAGAAACAGGATCTTTAATGACAAAACTTAGGAGATAATCACGGATAACCATTTGCACACATAATATATTGATGAAGATGGACAACCAAGAGCACAAAACTCAGAACTTAAGTAGACAGATCAGACAAAGGGAACTAATGAGATAATAAATGAACACCAAAACTGAATACAACAATCAAACTAGACATTTACCCTGAGTCCAAAATCGCCCCCTATACCCTTAAATAGGGCCATTTTTAGTGGTGTCTGAAACAATAGTGGACATTATCGAGTGCACTCATTTAATCCCACAATGCACAGCAATAAGAAGTGTACAACTGATGTATGCTCAAAGGCTAGAGAATACCCATAATGCACTGTGAGAGTCTCGCCAGAATTGCTACGTCTCGCCAGAAGATGGCTCCCACAGCTGAATCGTCCATCCATCCATTCATTTTACAAAGCACTCGTCCACGGCACACAACGTAATACTATACAGGTTGTTTAATTAGGGGTTATACATAATTTCCATGACATAGTTCAAATAAATCCTTTCATCTTACTAGTGGAGCTGCCAGTTTCAAATGATTATTAAACAGCAAGCACAAAATATGCAAAAGCGGCAGTCTTTAGGTACACTCAGTGTCCGAATTCACTTTCATTTACTCATTTTCATTTACTCCTTGAAGTGAACTGTATTAGGGGCCTAATGTAGGGAATAGTGAATGAGGTTATGAGCGGGTGATTTCGGATTCAATTTCTGTCTTGCTTTTAACTGATTGTCGTTCTGTATTTTTGTGTTTTAATTTGGATTGTTCTGTTTGCTTGTGTTGTAAAGCACTTTGATAAAGCACCCTTTTAAAGGCGCTATACTAAACAAAATGTATTTATTATTATTATTATTATTATTATTATTATTATTAAGGTACTGTTGTCGGTGCCAATAGCCTAGTGGGCAGTGTGCCGACATATAGTGCCGTTGCGCTCTGGGCATCCTGAGTTCGAGTCCTGGCTCGTGGACCTTTCCCGATCCCGCCCCCCT